TTTTTTCTCAAATGTGAATGGAAAGAATTGTATTTAATTCCTGTGTGAGAGATTTTGATTGTCTGTCTTGCCCTTTTGTAATCTTTAGATGTTACCATTCCAAATAAATGGTATAAGTATTTCATATACATAAGTTTTATAAATGGCTTACTTTGCACAGTAAAATAAAGTCCCACATTTCAGTGCACTTTACATTTCCACTCTTTTGGCCCTCAATATTTCTAGATATTGAGCATGGTTCTAAAACACTTCTGTAATATGTCTTGGGAGATTCTTCTGAAAAGAAGTTGCAGAATATGTCTGATTATTGTCATTGCTTCTAAGAAAAATGGTTGTACTTCACTGAAGAATCTGTCAAATCAAAGCTAGAAAGGATGCTATCTTGGTGTATGTTAACTTGCATGACTAATGTTGCAAGTGTAATTTAGATGACATTTCACCAACCACAAAATATTCACTATTTGCTAATTACAACTAGCAGGTTCTTAGCAGGCTGATATTTTTAATTAGAACTTATACACTAGGATTTGACTTAGTTTGGGGTTTTTTTTAAATAATGTTTGGAAGTTGGACAGTGCCCTCTGCTGGACTTAGGCTCCCATAGCAGTAGTTTGCAAAGTGCCCCAAATGTTGTCAATTAGTGAAAATGAACACAAAGTCAGTGTTGCTCTGCAGAAGGGATTTGCTGGTTTCGAGGAAGTATACTTTGTTTTAGTCCCTTCCTGCATTCTGCTCTACGTGGAAGCATACTGTGCAACAAAAATTGGTCTCATTTTAGATGACAAAGAGCTTTTGACTAATTTAGTTTGAACCCTGTTGGCTAGGACTGACAGTGAGACTTTATCACAGCAAGCAGCAGAAACATGTAGTGCTATGTATTCCAATTTTTGCAAAAATAAACTCAATACAGTAAGAGCATATTCATCTTCAGAAATAAGGGTGATGAAGAAATATGCAGTTGAACTTTTTGCGTGTTTAAGATTTACATGTCTTTATTGCATTGTTTCGAAGTTTAAGAAGTTATACTGAGAAGTCAAAAGTGTAATTTTTCTTTTTATGCCTTCTTTAAGGTATTTGGACTTTTTGTTTGTTTTTTTTTTTTTTTTTTTTGAGGGGGGTGGTTATAAAAATAGCAACACTACCAGTTTCACTTAATAATTCTAATCTCATGCCTTTGGACTTTCCCAGGGTCCATTAAACAAAAACCAACCAAACAAACAAACCCTCAAAACAAAAGTAAAAACAAACAAAACCACAAAAAAACCCCAGACAAAATAAAAACAAAATCAAACCCCAAAAAACAAACAAAAAACCCCATGACAAACAAACAAAAAAACCCCAAACAAACAAAACCAAAACAAAGCCATTTACCCAGGATGTAACTTTAATTTACAATATCTCATAGCAAAAGTGACAGAGAGAGATGAATTTCCCTAGTAATTTAATTGAAAACATTTAGTGAATTTACAACATGAATTTAAAATCCTTCAAAGATAGACTATAAAACTGTAATAATTCAGCATTTACAGGAAAATCGAAATTAGTAGCATAGAAAGCATTACATATCCCTTCATGAAACTTTTATGGTTTTTAAATTGCTTCTCTAGTTTTTCTCAGCACAGAAAACACATGGAGGGAAATAGCTGCATAGGGTTAGCTGCGAGTGATTTCCACTAATTGACCAGCAAGTTGTTTTATAGATTAGCTTAAAGATGATACAAAGCAGCTCTTTTGTTTATTGTGTGCTGCATGTTTTCTAAAAATCTGCAGACTTCTTAAAAGGCAGATTGCTCGTGCAGAGCAGCTGTTCTGTGTCAAAATATGCATCCTCTCTCTGCTCACTTCAGAGGTGCACTTCTCGGGAAAAATGCAGCCCATCCTCCAGCACACACTCACTCACTCACTCTCATGACAGCAGCTCTGGAGTAGAGATGAAGATGTGCTCCTAGAATACTCTGTCCACTCATAATATTGCCCTTCAGTCAGCCTTTATTTACATATGCCTGCAGCTGTGAACCTCTTTGCTTCACCAAGTGAGCTCCATGCCCTCTGCAAGGAGCTGTGAGCTCTGAAGTGACAGACCTCCACATTAATGGTCACAGTTGGTCATTAGCTTTCCACTGAATCTTTCTTGATGTCCTGTTAATGAACTCCCCACCGGCTTGTTGTGAAGATTGGTCAAGGTAAACAGTACTGGTAATTTATAGCTGAACCCCCGGCAGGCAAACGGCCTCCACTGAGTAACTGCAATAAACACAGTACTACTAAGTGGCAACACGTTCTTCCTAATTTATTTCTCAGTTGTAACTATTTCACTTGAAAGGAAGCTTTGGATTCTATGTTGAAAAATATGTTTACATATTTTATTTGGGGGCGAGAGGAATTTCTTTAAGAATTAAATAAGGAAAACAGCCTTAATCTTAAAACTCTTTTTATTTTTGGCATATTTTTACCCTTCACAGAGCATGTTTTCTTGAAAAAAAACATTTCTATGCACATGAAATTCACCTCTAAAAGGCTCAGAAGCCCTCTCAGTTACAAAAATTAGCTCTCAGGTGGTCCCTGTTAGATGCAGGAGCCTGGAGAGCTTTGATGGTTCAGCACCTGTGGTGTTTAATCTCAGTGAATCATGGATAAATTGGCCAGAAGTTACAGTCCCTCTAGCTGTGATCTTGCTAGCTCTTAAAAGCTATAAAGTTTCAGCCGGGTCCTGGCTTGGTAGGAAAGCTCTGGAAAAAGACCAAGAAGTGGCAGTGATGCATTAGGTAGCACTCTTCCCTTTAAGACTGGTAGATAGTGTCATAGGGGTTATCCAGTTATCACAGGATCCTGCCTTGGCTTTAGATGGGCAGGTACCTTTCCCCATTTCAAGAGTGAACAGATTCCACAGTGGCCAAGACATTCATAATCCTTTAAGGTTTTATATTTTCATTTTCACTAGTTCAAGTATCATAATTTTGATGCAAAACAAACAAAAAAAAAGGTGCTATATATCTGCAATGAAACTGCCATAAGAAACTGGGTTTGCATGTCCTGGGCAAGAAAATTTATCATGTTCTATTACAGGTTTTCATGCACTTGATGCAGATTAAGCGGTGTCCCGATGCTCATCTCATTTCCTGCAAATGGCTTCAAGATTGTAAAAATCTTTCCCCCCAGTGCTTCCAAATGGCACTTCTTGAGCTGTGTAGAGATTAAGTAGTTGAGTTTCCAGGAAGGTGTCCTGATCATTACTCCCTGACGTGTGGAAATAGGAGCTATGGTTGTCTTTAGAAAGACAGTTTTTGCCCTCTCGTTGAAGTTACTCACCTTACATTTGGTAACTTTGCTCTAAATTATATGAGATTATAAAAATTTCTCATTACTCAGAGATTCTGTTTCATACTCTTTGATTACAAAAGAGATCCTTCTCTCCATCCTGGTTTCAAGTACTGGGAGACTCCTGTTTCCTTAGTAGGCACTGCTGACAAAGCATGTGGCTCCAACCAAAACTTTGTGAAATGACTAAAAGCAACCAAGTTCTTAAACAGCTTGTGAAAGCAGCACAGATGGTACTTGCTTGATGTTGCCCATCTTGAACAAAAACATTTAATTCTGCACCTTTTATAGTGTGGATGTGAGAGTTCGAGACAGAGGAGTCATATGCTTTTACAGAAAACCATAAATCATTTCATATAAATAAGACACATATTTAATAATTGCTCATCTTGTTATGTAGCATCCTGCATTTCTTTCCATGCTAAAAAGTAAATAAGATGTTCAAATATTAATGTCATATGTTTGAGAAGGACCAGGTCCTGACCCAAAAGAGTGTATTTTTAAGGAAATTCATTGAACCCAGATGGAATTACGACATCTCGATACAGAATGAAGTAGTGCTAACAATGTTTTATTCTTATTTTTTGTCCAGGAGCTATGGACAGTGAGCTTTAAAATCCTAAAATCAAAAACTGAAAGTGTAAATAAAATATGAATTTGGTCTCAGCCGTAATACAAACTCCATGAAAATACTCTTCGTGGGGGGTGGGTGGGGTGGAAAACACTCCTTAAATCACAACACTTCCTTGAATGGCTGTGTATTATCCACTAAAGAAATGCATATAGCAGTTTAGAAGAGATGATGCATGTTGAGACAAATATCTTTACAGCACTGAATGGGAAATCTTTAACTATGTGTCTGTCCTCTGGTTTTATCCAATCTTAATGACACACAGAATGTGTGCAAAGTACTGTTTCGATCCCTGTATGTGCTCTGGATGAACCCCGAAGCCAAGTGATGTAAACATAATGTAAGGCACAATAAAAATAAACCAAAAGTGAAGGCATATTACATTTTTAAATTTTCATTATAATGATTAAATCAGTAACACTGTACATATATAGAATTTCTGCTCCTTGCTGCATGTGCCTAATGGTTATCCCCATTCTTAACGTGAGACACGTCCCACAATGTACAGAATGAGTTTGCATGTGCATTTTTTCAAGTGTCGGTGTTTAATACCTTCCTGCTAAGATAGCTTAGCAGTGAGCACACATCTTTCTACTGGATGTCCCTTGGGAATGGTACTCTACAGGAATATACCAGCCTTTCTGCAGAAACCATTGCAAAGCTGAACTAACACAATATGATTGCAGGTCTATTTTACCTAACCTTTATCTTTTTCAGAGGAAACATGGAAATGTTTTGTTAAGACTTAACAAACATAACTTTTGTTAAGCTAAATCATGGTTAAGCTAGGTCCTTTTGGAAAAACATAATCTTTGATTTCCTTACCAAAAAAGAAAACTTAGTGAAAGAATAATAAAAAACATCCTGTTCTTATGTATAATTTCATTTTTATTGTATTTATTTTCAGAAAATGTATTGAACCTAGTGTCAAGACAAGTAAATACTTTTGAAAATTTTCTACTAATATAGTTTTTTAATTAATTAAAGCAAAAATGAAAGCTTTTTTTTACAGATTTTGAAATAACATATTTTCTTACATTCTTTGTAACAGGTGGTTCTGCTAATCTAACCTGCCGAGCTTTCTTTGGATATAGTGGAGATGTCAGTCCTTTGATCTACTGGATGAAAGGGGAGAAGTTCATTGAAGATTTAGATGATAGTCGAGTCTGGGAAAGTGACATTAGGTAAAAGATAAAGCTTTTTTTTTTTCTTTTTTACTCTATGTTTTTGTGATACTTAATGTAATACTTTTTATCACAGACTAACTCAGGAGCACTTTGGGTCTGATCCCTTTTTGCAACAGCCATATTTTATCTTTTCTTCTCCACAAGTAGAGAATAGAAAAATGCACTACTCAGCCAGATCTCATATTAGAGAGTTGCAAGAGCAGAATAGCTGCCCAAAAAGTGTTGTAGTGTTGACGAACTGGAATTTACAGTGGCTTTTTCAAACTGTGACAGTCCACAATAACAACCGTTAAGACACTTAGTAAGATGAAATAAAGAAAAATAAATACATCAAGAAAAACAGCTCAAAAAGGCATTTTCAAACATAGAGCCTTAAAGAAATGCCAAAGTCTGACTTCCCTTTTGGAATATTTTGATTTATTTTCTTCGTGAAAAAAAAACTTGATTTTTCAGGGATGTTATCTGGCCTGTGAGAGCCAAGCATCCTGTTATGTGGGCTGCTTATATCTGCTGAAATACTGGCATTTGTGCCTTGTACTTCTACTGCTCCTGGAAGTGCTACCTCATTTGGAAATTAAGGAAAAAAGTGGGTTTGTGTTGAGAATTGCATGCTTGACATGACATACCAACTCCTATCCAATATGAAGCATCTGCTCTGATCTGAAGGGATTCCTTTTTCATTTATAATTCTGTATGTGTGTATATCACTGAGTTTATCATGGATAAACCCAGAAATAAAGGCACATCTAAATATGCATGTCATGGTTTAACCTTAGACAGCAACTAAGCACCACACAGCGGCTCACTCACTCCCCTCTTATCCCCCTCGGGTGGGGAGAAAAATCAGAATAAAAGTAAAGCTTGTGGGTTGAGATAAGAACAGTTTAAAAATTGAGACAAAATAAAGGATTATAATAATATCAATAATATTAATTGTAATAATAAACATATATTACTAATAATAATTGCAATGAAAATGAGAGAAAGAGGAATAAAACCCAAGAAAGACAATATAATTGCTTACCACCCACTGATCAATGCCCAGCCTGTCCCCAGGCAGTGATCCACGGCTCCTGGTCAACTACTTCCAGTTCATATACTGGGCACGGCATCCTATTGTATGGAATCACCCTTTTCCCAATTCTGGTCACTTGTCCTGGCTATGTTCCCCCAAAACTTTTTGTGCATCTGCTCACTGGCAGAGCGTGATACTGTGAAAAGTCCTTGACTTAGGGTAAGCACTGCTCAGCAAGAACTAAAACATTGGTGTGCATTCAACATTATTCTCATACTGAATTCAAAACAATACGCTGTACCAGCTACTGAGAAAAAAGCTAACTCTATCCCAGAAAACTGAGACAGTGCATTACAAAGGAAACTAAGAAATCATGGATGTGTTATCTATAGTGATTGTCCATAAGAGAACAAAATTAGCCTATTTTACTTCACTTCTTACATGGATATTTACAGTGTCAACAAAAGACATGAAGTCAGGCTCAGTTTCAGCTTAACATTGAACTTCTTCAGTATAACCAAAGTAACAGAAACATTCCCTTTAACAAAATCAAGAAGACCACCTTGATACTCAAGGTCATCATTGCCAGATATAGGTAAAATGGAAACACATTTCACCTCTGTGTATTTCGAGGTCAAGACCAATACACTAAATGGTATGTGACACTCAGATCAGATATTTTGCATCTAAAGCTTTTCCCAAGCCTTTCTGCCAGTGACTTGGCTTTCTGATGACTAACAAAAAGGTGAAAAGAACTCTGTTACAACTTTCTTTTTTTTGTGGAGGGAGGAGCAGAAAGGCTGGTTTCCACTTCTTACGTCAAGCCTGACATGAGGGAGCAGCCTGGAATAATTTGTCATTTGCTTTCCTGGGTTCCTAAAACCACTGACGGTCTTGCTAAGAAGGAGAGATAGTAATGTGAAGACAGGTGGAGTCTTACAGAGGAAGTCTTTTATTTACCATCTGTATGAACTAGAGGCATCTGGCATACCAGCTCTTTCTACTGTTTTATAATACATAATCAAATCTTATACTGCATTCTAGAAATAATCTCTCAGACCATGGCATGAACATGTTGTTTCTGAGTGGCGCATTGAAAAGCCTCAGAAAAAGCACAAATACTGTGTTTGGCCCAGACTCTTAGTGTGACTCTAAACCCCAAAACAACAGTTTTCCCTTTTCTCTCTTCTCACGTTCCAAGACTTCATGGATCAGGGTCTCCATCAGAGTGTGCAATGATATATTATCAGTGTGCATATCATTCTGCTTAAAGAAGACAATGAACTGAAGCTCTCATTAACATTTACAGAACCAATCCTCCTCATTAGAAGTGAGGAAGAAAAGGGCATGACAAAATTTGATTAAGATTGCATCAAACCATAGCCAAGTTTGAAGCCGGAGAGCTGTAGGTTGTAAGCAGCATTATTATGTCATGGTTATCCAGTGCTCCACTATGACACAAGTGGAATAGCAGTGATGGTTGGTTTTTTTTCTCAGGGTTCTCAAGGAACATCTTGGGGAGCAGGAGGTTTCCATCTCATTGATTCTTGACTCTGTCGAAGAGGCAGACCTGGGCAATTATTCATGTTACGTCGAGAATGGAAATGGGCGCCGACATGCCAGCATTCTTCTACACAAAAGGGGTAAATATGCAGCTTTTCTCCATGAAACGGTAAAATGTAGGGGAGATTTATTTTTTACAGAGCTTCTTTCTGATGCAAGCATGAATTTTGGTTTCCTAAGAACCAATAGTCAGTTATTATTTTCCCCTAGGAATTTGTACAGCTTGAAAAACAAACCAGAAAGGATGCTGTTAATTATGAATGCCACTGGAAAAAATACACTAACACCTTTTAAATATATCTCTATAAAAGATGCATTTAATAATTCCTCAGTTTTGAACTTAATAAAGGCTCAATAGAGAAAAATAGTAGGAAACAACAGCTAATACAACTGAAATAATTTTCTGTAAGAAATAAAATCAATTATTTGAAAAATCAACAAAAATACATTCCACTTCTATCAGAAATGCCACCTAAACCCCATGCCAGGAGAGTTCCTTCATTGCCTAACTGTGGACATTTTCCTTCTAACACTTTTGTTTAACATTAACATTTCTGAAGTGAGACATCATGACAGAAACCTCTGAGAACCTTCCTGTTTCTTCTCACCACTCACATCCCATGATTCCACCCTGTCTAATAGCCACAGCCATCTCCCACAGAGATGATTACAGAGAAATGGAGACTCTCTTGCAAATCAAGGCTCCCAGACCCATTTTGTCCACTTTACCTCTCAGAGGGTGCTCCACGTGCCTGGGATTGACACTCCCCACCCTCAAGCAGCATCTCACTGGCCTAAGAGAGCAAAGAATGAGCAGGAGCAGTGTGTGCACTTTGGTGTCATTACTGTGCTTTTTTTAGATTGCTTGTAAAGGTGAGCAAACCAGGTTCTTATTGTGGTGCTGAAGTACTTTTGGCATCTCAGTTTATATCAGAGCAGTGATGTCTTCCCTAAATTTACTTTCGTAGCATGCAAAGTCTGTCTAAGTTTAGAAGGAAACCATAAATCAAGATAGTGTGACCAAATAATTTAAACATATTATGTACCTCCAATTAATTGAATAGAACTAATTTGTAGCCATTTTTCTGAACTCGTCATTGCTTCTTAAAAGATGAATAACCAGATGTTCTGCTTAGCCTGGCATTTGCCACATTTTCTTGAATTCACTGAGATAAAAAACTAATGTATTAAGTAATTGAACCTCAACAATATACCAGTTAGTAGTCATATATTCCTCGTTCAGAGACATTTGAACCTGGAGCAAGATCTTAACCCAAAACACCACTGAAATCCACTGGCTTGTCCTTAATAAATAAATTAGTTGATGAGACACCAAAAATAAAGAATTTTTAAGGCTTAATTACTTGAAAGGCTTTTTAAGGCTTTAAATTACTTTAAAACCAATACTTAATTGACATGATGAGTCCTTATTTTCTCTTCCATACAAGCAGTATCTGCAACACTGACAACACATGCTTCTTTTCTGTTCTATGACCACCAGATTTTTAATCTAACAGTGTAGGCATGAATTTTGAAAGAGTCTGCTTTCCTTGTTTCCTTTTTTGTAGAACTCAGTAAGTCAAACACACCACAGTGTGTGGCCTCATGATGACATACTTCAGAGGAAATAATCTCAATATTTAATTACCCTTATGAATAGTAAAATGATAAAAACAGCAAAAAAACTCCCCAAAATATTTTTTTCCTCTTTAAGTAAAGCTGAATCTGAAATTGATTTGGAAGCACAGTCTGTTGTGCCCTCAAAAAACAAAATGTACCTGATACAAGCCTTCTACACACTTTGCATGTTGACAACTGTTTCAGTGAAATGATAAATTAAGCATGACAGATAAAAATTTGAGCTAGTCTCTGAGGTCTCCTAGGAAGAGAAGCTTTACACTTCTTGCTTAGTCTTCTGTATATCACCATGACAACCTTTTGGTTTAGGTTTCCTTGTTTAGATCCACATTTAGTCTCTGCTAGGAATGAGTTAGCTGTTTATTAATTTCCGATTATTTGGCTGACTTAGAACGATTGGGACCTAACAATTAGGAAAATTTGCTTCCTGAACACTAAGATGTTTGCAGAGTATTAGTTTTGGCTGGTTTTCTAGTTAGTGATCTTTTTTTTTCCAGCAGTATAAGTCAACAAAGGTGCTGAATCTGGAATGTTCACTGCATACCTGAAAAAGAAATTATAATCCTTCTTAAACTTCCTCTGTGGAACATTATCACCAGGATCAGAAGGGACAGCAAAGCAGAAAGCTCTGCTACTGAACAAAAAGCGTTCCTGGGAAAAGAGGTATTTAGGGCTAAACGCTGCAGTGGGGATTCAGGTACAAAGTTTAAGCCTTTCAAACACCCTTGCAAGTGCTGCTTCAACCTGGTCAGTATAGTCTCTGTAAACTTAAAAGTCCAGGGGGAGATTTTAGAAATACCTATAATTAACAGGCCCTGAAAGGGCAAGAAGTCCAGAGTCTAACTCACTAGCAAAACCCTGGATGCATCTTCCTTAATCTTCCCACTCGTCAGCCCAGCAGGAACACACACTCTCCTCACAGAAACCACAAATGGTGGTCCCTATCACAAACCAGTGCCTGGCACATTCAGACGGGGAGAGGGGGCTTCTGCTCTTTCCCTGACATGGTACTGGAATGGATAGCCAGAGCCTCTCCTTTCCCGAAATCAATTAATTTCAGGAAGGGAGCAGAACATAATGCCCCCAACTCCAACACCACTTGGGCAGGAAAAGTGAACCTCGTTTCAACATCCGGCACCGGGAGAAGGCTGGGACGCCTCGTACCTCCCTCTAGTGTGGACACCGGTGCTCTGCATCTCGGGGAGCTGAGCCCTCATTTTCTCCTGAGCTTCTTTTGCTTTCTGATGCAAGTAGAGAAAACCTACGATCTATGTTTTTCTGCTGCCAGCTAACCATTTTTAGACTCCTAAATTTCCTCAGATGCTGTGCATGGGGAGCATTTAACTCGAAGCTAAAGGCAGTAGAGCACTTTAAGCATGACAATGACAATGCTGTTTCCTTTTCTTGTTCATTCCTACAAAATTTGTCCAATAGATAATCAGAAAAAGAGAGGGATCAGAACTCAGGAGATTTAACTCTCATTCCTTTCCTCCAGCTTTTGACCAAATCCGTTTCACCTTTACAATAATCAGGTTTTTTTTCTCTTTTGTCTAAGAAAAAAAAAAATCTACTTGTTATAATCTAAGGCTGATTTTGTCATTTACTGGTGATAGCTACCATTGATCATCTGTAGCAGTTCAGGCTAATCTTCATCCAGGTAGGGGAACCTTCCAGAAATTAATTTTTAGAGTGATACTGACAGCAGCTAAGCACAAATTTATTAATAA